TTCAATCTAAAAATGAAATCCTACATGGAAAAGACAGTCAATTTTTAAAAATTTATCTCCATTTAATATTGGCCCCCCAAAAGGATAAAAGAAACAACACATACCTAACTCATTTGAAAAGGTATCAAAGAATAATTAAAGAGGTTCTATACACTCATACAAAACACTGGGCATCTAATACAGCTCTGTTTGTAACACAGATCTTTTCCTCTCACAAAATTAATTTTAAACTTAGAAAAATATCTTAATTTCCAAAACAGATTTTGTTTATTTATATATATTTTCAGCTAGACAAAGTTTTATGTTATTCTAATGTCCCACCTCCCGATTTCCATGTATGTTATGAAAATGTAGACAATTAGTATATTTGAAAAATGTGAGTTTTCAACAATTCAAACCTAGATAAATCTATTTAACAGATTATTTTCCTCATACAGGTCACAAAGTTACAATAATTAAAAAGTTTCAACCCACTGAAATTTAAAATGATCTGTTACAGCTTTGATTTTACTTTTAAGTGCAATCTGAGCTTTAAAGATGTTTCTCTTTTTTGTTTTAAATGTTTAATTATGCAAATAAAAGTCTCCATGATTCCTCCTAGTTAACTAGTGATCTACCCACTTACGCATTTACTGATTAACACTGCACTTAGAAATCATTTCATGGAGTCTTAAAAACAAATGAAAAATAGAACTACAACATGATCCAGCAACTCCACTTCTGGGTATTTATACAAAGAAAATGAAAAACACTGACTCAAAAAGATATATGCACCCACATGTTCACTGAAGTATTATTCACAACAGTCAAGATACGGAAACAATGTTAAGTGTCCATCAATGGATGAATGGATAAACAAAATGTAGAGTATTACTCAGCAATTAAAAAGATGAAATTTTGCCATTTGTGATAACATGAATGCACCTCAAAGGCACTGTGAAATAAGTCAGTGTGCTAGTGAAATAAGTCAGAGAGAGACAAATATCATATGATCTCACTTATGCGCAGAAAAAAAACCCCACCAGGAGCTCATAGATACAAAAAACAAAATGGCAGACCAGATGCGGGAACTGGGAGGTGGGTGAAATGGGCGAAGGAGATCCAAAAGGTACAACTCCAGTTATAAAATAAATAAGTCATGCATATATAATGCACAGCATGGTGACTATAGTTAATATTGTATTGTATATTTGAAAATTGCTAAGAGTAAATCTTAAAAGTTCTTATCACAAGAAAAAAATTTTTTGTAAAAAATGAATTCATATAAGTATTGTTTTATACTTTCTTCCCTAAATTAACAATGTTTTAGAGGTTTTTTTCCATGTCAGTACTTAAAAATCTGTACCATTCTTTCTAATTAGCAAATATTGGTGTTCCCTAATAGATTACCATACTTAATTAACCATTCCCCTACTGACATTTGGCTTAACAACTTTTTGCTATTGGTGTTGCCTGAAAATCCCAGTAAATATTTCATTGTCTTTTATAAACAATTGTATCTCTGGGCTACACACCTACTGACAAAGATGTCTAGTTTCTAGGTTAAGTGCATTTAAACCTTTTGACAACTACTGTCAGACTGCTCTCTAAAAAGGCTACGCCAATTTATACTCTCACCACTAGTATGAAAGTACTCATTTTACCATAATTATAAAAAGCACTTAGAAATCCTTTACATCTTTTGTCAGAATGTGCACAAAAGAATAGTACTTTATTTCAACTGCATTTCCCAGATTAGTGAAGTTGATTATCTTTTCAGATATGTTACCCATTTTCATTTCTTCTATAAATCCTCTGCTAATTAAAACTGAAATGTTCTAGATCCCACTGACAACATTGAAATACTTGATAAACTGTGGAAATTTTTAAAATTACACTCTTCTCAATTCCCTACATTCTATAGACTACCCAAGGAAAACCTTACTTTTAAGAAATATAATTGTAAAAATGAGTATTTACTGAGTACCTTTAACATACCAAGCTTTATGCTAGACATTTTCATATGCACTTCATCTAAACTTCAATCCTCTAAGATTGGTACTATGTATCTGTTTTATATACACAAGTAAACAGCAGCTGCTGATGGCAGTTAATAAACTTGTTAGAGAATGATCAAACTGGAATCTGAATTTGGAGCCCGATCTTCCAGCTCCCATGTCTGTACTATATACCACACTGCTTTCCAGGCTTTGAAAACTCTTTAACCTTTCTTAAAACCCTTTCCTCCATTGGTTCCATGGCACAGTCTATCCCTGATGTTTCTCTGTCCTTTCTATTCTTTCCATTTATTTTGCTGGTTCTTTTTCCTGCTCCCCAGGATTTCTAGGCATCAATGTTTCATATTCATTCACTTTAAGGTCACAAGGCTACTCTTACTAAAACAGCAGAACCTTAGGAAACTCCAAACATTAAATAATAATGAATTGCTTTGCACTCATCTCCCAGATATGTAACAATACTGGCTATTGATTGTTCTCCTACAGCTCACATTTCTTCTCAGTTGACATAACCTCCCTACCCACTTCCACCCCTTAAGATTGAGGTTTGCCAGAGCTCAGTCCCTGAACTCCTTCCTTTTCATACCTTACAGACTCTGTAGCCCTAGCTCATCCATTTCCATGATGTCAACAACCATCTATTCACTGATGGCTCAAAACCTTTATATCCACTAGCTGAGGCTATATTCTTTGAACTTCAACATGGATGATATTTTAAAACTATATCCAAACCTAATTTCTTTCAGTAATTCAAGTCAGAAACTTGGGAGTCATTCTAAATTCTTCCCTCTGGTTCAAGTAATTCTGACTCTTTAACACATGTAGCATTCATCCCTTTTCTCTTTCCTGCTGGGTTTCTTCCTTACCTCATTTCTCACCTGAATCATTGGTATATAGAAGGGGCTCAAAAATATTTGAATTCAAAAAATAAACACACTTGTCCCACTAACAGCATGGACCATGTCTTACTCATTTTGGAGACTCAGAACTGAGTTGACATGCCACCCCAGGAAATTTAGTGAATGAATCATTCCAGGGCTCCCATACGTAAATCAAACTTTTAGGGAATAAGAATCAGGAATCCATTTTTAACAAGCTCTCTGGATGACTCCTATATAGACGATCCAGCAACATTCTTTAAGAAATAATGAATTAATAAGTCCATTCTCATGTTAAAAGAGAGCAAACTCAGAGGAAGAAATGGAATTAAACAACTTTCCTCCTACCTCTCTATAGACCTCTCATGCACATAAATATAATTCATGAGTCATCTCCTACTATAACCACTCTCTAACTCGGCATCTTCACTCAGTTAACATGCTGCAATAGCTCACTTTCACCCTGTAACTCCACAAACTATTCTCTAGACAGCAGCCAGAATGGTCTTTCTAAAAGGCAAATCAGAGCATGCCACCTTCCCCTCACCTCATCCCACATTCTAGGAATAGTTTCTCCTCATATTGTAAGAACAAAATCCAAAATCTTACTCTTGTTTACAAAGCCCTAAATAATCTGGCCCCTGCTTATCCCTCTGGCCTCATCTCAAACATCCTCCTGCTTTTATGGTCTACACTGCAACCACACTGGCCTTTTTGTTCCTAAAATACACCAAACTTTTTCCAGTCTTAGAATTTTTGCATTTGCTCTTTCATCTGTCAAGAATGTTCTTCTTCCTCATCCTGTCATGGCTAGCCCGTTGTTCCTATTCAGCCTCAACTTAAATGTCACCTCTCACAGAAGCCTCCAACCACTCAATCAAAAGTAGCCTTCTAGTCACACACTGCAGCACTCTATTTTAATTTCTTACAAGGCATTCATCACAAGTTGATATCCTCCCTGCTTACTTGTTCATTGTTTATTTCTTGCCCGTAAGAATATAAGATCCATGACAGCAGTAAAACTACCTTGATAGTAGATTCATTCATTACCTTAGGCCCAAGGCTTAAAACAGTGGCTAGAATATAGTAGGCGCTCAATACATGTATTTGTAATCAATCTACTCTTATTTGGGGATCAAGAGTGTATTAAGCTCAGATTTCATCAACGAATAACAAAACCTCATCTTTTTATAAATATATTCATTGAATAAATCCAATTTGTCTACATTAATTGGAAAATAAAATTCAAACAGAATTATTTTTTAGGTATTCCATATCAGGCAGTCACAAAAAATAACCAATATGTTCAAAAATTATATTCATAACAAAATCAGGTTATTTTTTTTAGTCACTGGTTAAGAAAAAAAAATTTAAGTTGTTACAAATTATACCAGCACCATGAGGGGAAAAAAACCCAAATGTCCACCAACCAGTGAACAGATAAACAAATCATGGCATATCCATACAAAGAATACAAAGCAATAAAAAGGAATGAATTCTTATTGATATACACAACAATGTAGCTGAATCTTAAATTATCCTCAGTGAAAGAAGCCAGGCAAAGAAGTACATACTGTATGATTCCATTTATAAAATGTTAAGTTCTAGAAGAGCAACAGAAAGCAGATCAGCGGATATCTGGGGAGAGAGAGAACAAGAAAGAAAGACTACGAGGGGGAACCAGAAAACTTACGGGAATGATGGACATGTTCATTACCTTGATTGTGGTGGTTTTTTGGTGTAAACATGATAAAACTTAGCAAACATACACTTTAAAAATGTGCAATTTATTGGACATCAATTATAACCTTATTAAATTTCTTTTTGTAATTTTTAAAAATCAGATTAGGTCACTCCCTTAAAAACCTTCAATGGCTCTCCATCCCCCAAAAATAAAAAAATAGAAAATTTCTTATAAGCTTTACCAGCAGTAGAAAGGAGTTAATATTTAAATGGAATGGACAGCATACTAATGTCATAAGCTGATTTCCAATAGCTAATAAAAACCAAACACATACTTTAATAGATTTTAATTTTTAACTTCAACAAAAATGTGCATAGTAAATTCACAAGTTTAAAATTTCTACATCAAAAAGCTAAAAATGTGGTAAACTCTCACAATTACCTATAGAAGATGGTGATTTTTCTGGGTGTTTCGCATTTAAAAGTTTTCTGCTAATAAATATGTAACCACAGGGACATGATTTACATGCAACAGGAACCTGTAGGAAAAAAAAGAAAAGAAACAATATATTATTACTATTTTTCTGTTGTTAAATTTCTCAGTGTTCACATAGTCTCCAGAACTGAAAAATAAATTACTTGAAGAATCATGGATTTATTTAAACCCCACCTCCTTACAACACATTATTTGAAATTGGTATCATGTATCATCTCTACATTCTACCAATTCATCACAATACCATGAATATAGTAAACACATGATAAATGTGCTGATGTGAGTGAATGATAGAAAACTGTAATAGGGTCAGAGTCAGGGAAAATAGGTAGCATTTCCTAAAATATTAGTTTGATAGTTTATATAAAACAAACTAGAAAAGGGAACATTATTGGGAAGTCATTAAAGCAATCCTAGCATAAGAGTATGAGGGCCCAACTGGAACAGTGGGAACAGAAATGGAGATAAGGTAGATTTACCAGACACATCAAAAGGGGAAAGAACTGAAAAGGACCCAGGCTCCAACATGAGAGGGTAAGATGCCAAATATCACTGACAAAAAAAAGTTTATCATTATGCTGTACACCAGAAATTGACACAACATTGTGAACTGACTCTATTTCAATAAAAAAGAAAGCAAAAAAAAATAAGAGTTCACAGCAACCAGCTTGAGGGGCAAAAGTACAGTATAAACAAAAGAGAATGTAGGAAAAAGTAGGAGTTGAGATCTAGGATCTTACAGTCTCAGCTCCAGGAAGGATGTTGGCTAAAACACTTAAGCTCTTCAGGCTTCTATTTCTAAATATGTAAAATACTTTAATAAGTAACTCCTTTCTCCATTTCAAGCATATAAAGTTTTAAAAGCCAAATGTTATTGAAAATCATTGAGAAAAGTTTTAGATTTCCCTCCAAAATCATTTCATTAATATTAACCTTAATGATCCTAGGACTCAAGACATATTTACCAAAACTGAGAAATTTATCTCAACAAAAAGTACTCACAAAAAAATTATAGTCAGAATATTGCAATTCCCTCTGTAAGATAAATTCCATTTGCCCATTGTTCTGCTTATGTAAAAGTTTAATTACAATTATGAAGATTTTCATCCATTTATGTACAGAATGCTTCCTATTCAAGAACATATTTTATTTAAATATGCTAAATTAGAATTTTGGCAGAATTCTTTTTCTTTGCACAAAAATAATGAACAAAGGATTCTAGTTTGTATTTATGAAAAATAACAATGAATCCTGTAAAAATAATCCAACTTCAGGTATGCCTAACAGTTTGCTTTATCAAGAATGTAATGAGATTCTTTCAAATGATGACAGAAAATGTACTGTAACATTTTTTAATATTTTAAAATCTGCCCCAAATAGGTATGGTTTGCCATTTTAAAAATTTCACATCTTCACAGAAACCAAGCTCAAAGGTACTGACTCATTTCCTTTACACTTAAACACATCATAAAGGGCATCCTAAGTAATATAAATTGCTTTAAGTTAATGCTATCCAAAAAACACAGAAACATGATGTTCTTATTCAACAGATCCTCTGCTACTCAACACGCATGCTCTTTCAGCTACTAAAGTTCAATACATTTAAATGTAAGTCTCTATCTTATACACACAAAAAAATTGTATCAACCTATATCCAGAATTAACAGAATGCTACAGTTAGATGACAAATGTACATTTGGCTTCGGGATGACTAATTCAATTGACAGGTTGATTTATATCCCTTAATGAAAGTGCCTTATGTTCAAGAAACATTCATGTGCCTGAGCTAATTCACCCTCAAGTCCTTTTTTTTTTTCCTCAAGTCCTTTTTAAAATGGAAAGTTCCTTCCTCCCACACCAACTTGGAAAAAAAAACTCAGCTAGCACAATATAGATCCTGTAAAGAATAGGGTGGATAACTTTGGCAATATTAATCTCTTTAAATTATAGTATAATTTGGATTTTAAACATCCTAAACTTCCTTCAAATTTCAGTTGTAATGCCAAAGATAATAGTAATGAAAGTTCTAATGCTATACTTTCAGGATTTTAAAATGGAAGAAAAAAATTCAAGGTTTTCTTTGCTTATGGCTTACTGTGCATCAACTTGAAAATCAGGTATTTAAATCGTTTATATGTTCTGCAAGTAAAACAGGTTTAAAAAAAACTGTAGAAAATGAAATCCTAGTCCTGTATTGTTTCACTGATTTTAAAAAGCCCAAAAATAACCACATTAGAGAGAATCCATTTATACTTGGTTGCTAAGAGAATCAAAATTACCTACAGCAGACATACTTGCTGTTTGTCACATGAAATTTCCTATAAATAATGGGGAAAGAGGTGATATAATTTAAAAAAAAATAAGGCAAAAACAGAAATATACACAAAAGATATCAGAAAACTAACAGAAATCTAGACTACTACTACACTCAAAATGTCTCAGTAATTTGAGTTAGTGGATGTGAAACCCCTTGAAAACGAAAAGCATCGTGGTTTAGATGTTTCAGAACTGTATTTTCAATAAAGGCATGTAAAAGGGATGTAATAAAGCAACTGAAAATCTAGGTCTTCCTTGTTTGCTTATCTCTGTACCTGTTTTTAAACTTAAACACACACACAGGACATATATAAATCTATTCAACTAGATAGTCTCCTAAAACTTTAAAATTTTTACATTTATGTTTACAGACTATATCTGAATTCTAATTTAATATTCATCAAGCAACTTAGAATATCAGCAGCATTCTAATGCTGTTTAAAAGGCTTTCTGGATTATAATTTTTTTTTCTCAAAATAAATTTGGAACTTCAAATACTTAGATAGCTAAGTTAATCTATTATTTTCTTCAATTCAGTTACTTTTAAAGATAAATCACTTTCAAGAATCACCAAAAATTTGACGTCTCTACATATTACATTCTCTTAAGTACTTAGAATAAAAGACAAAACAACCAACATTCAAAATTATGTTGTAGTTTGCTGTGGACTGAACTGTATCCACCCCATTTCCAAATAAATTCATATGCTGAAGCCCTAACCCCCAATGTGATGGTATTTGGAGATGAGAAAATTAGGTTTAGATGAGATCATGAGGGTGGGGCCTTCATGATGTGATTAGCATCCTTATAAGGAGACACGTGAAAGCTCTCTTTTCTGTCACGATCTTGGGACATTTAGCCTCCAGAACTGTGACAAAATAAATTTCTGTTGTTTTAGCCACCCAATCTCTGGAATTTTGTTGTGGCTGCTGGAGGGGGTGTTGTGCGTGTAACAACAAAATTAAAGTGATCTTTCCAAATAAAACACTGATCACCTTTTGTTGAACAGTTACAGGAACTACTACAAGTTTATTATCCTCTCCTCTTTTCTTAACCAGGATATTAAAAACAAGTGATTTTTCCCAAAAGGTTACTTTATGCCAAGTACAACAAGGTCAGGATTTGCAATAACTGGTGCCCTACAGAAACTGGAATGCGTAATGCATACTATGCAAACCTTATACTTCTGCACAATTAATTGGAACAAATGGAAATGATTTAAATATTGAAATAATCTTCCACAAAGAGACTTGAATCAAAAAATCCAATTTTTTCAGAATTTAACAAATTTAGTTTAATGGTAACTATTTTGGAAAACACGGCTTTTTTTACACTGCATACACAATAAACCGTAATTCTCCTTGCAGTCTTTCTCTGATCAGCATTTCTATCATTGCCCATAAAAGACACTGAATATAACATTTTCTGTTACAATATTTGATCAACTTAAACTTACTCCTTAAAGACTGCACTAAAATCATCTTATTAAAAAAACGGGGGTGGAGGGGCCCTCCAGCCATTTCAAATTACTCCTGATTTTAAAAAAGAAAGGAAGAGAAAAAAAAGGAAGAGGGTAGTCATTTTGAAAAAAATTCTCTCAGTGGAAAAGAGAAAAACACACCCAGATCTGCATGTTTGCGTCAAATAAGAGCCCTTACGAAGGCTTTTAACTGGCAGAGTTTTAACTCATTAGATTTTAAGGTTTACTGGAACCTGTAATATTTCAGTAAAAAATGGGGCATGCTTTACTAGGAAGCAGTAAAATGAGATTTTTTTTTAATTACAGGTATGTCACCACTAATTCTGTGTAAAAAGAACTCACTTAAAATTCATAAAACCACATACATATTTTTTAAATGATCTGGAAGCAGAAATGCCAAATTTTTACCAGTGGATACCGCTGAGGGTGGGGGGAAGCGAGGAGTGCCCAGAAAGAAAGGGCTTCAGTGGGGGCGTTATTCAATAATGTTCCACTTAAAACATTGTAGAGAAAGGATTCACAATTATTTACGCCAAAAATACAATAAACATATTTAAGAGAAAAAAAATATCCGATTTTGCCGAAACTTAAAACCATTTCACTGTTAAGCATCCA